ATCTTAGATGCGATGAGAACGTCAAAAAAAGAGCTTTTGTGTTCCTTTAGTTATGAAACTCCATTCATTTTCAGATTCATTCAATTCAATGATTGTCGATTGATTGTCTTCCTGTAAGCGTCTTATGATTCGACACCCGCCACCCAGCGCCACCCAGCGCAACTCTCCAGTCTCTCAACGATCCCCGTGACAGATGAGATCGCCCGCCTGGCCGAGTGCAAGTTCACCAATGACTTGGAGGATGTCGTCCTTGAAGTCCAGCAAAACAAAAGCATGGTTGACACCGACCGCTGCACCATAAGGAAGATGCTTCAGGAGTTCGAAAGTGAGGGCTTTTTGGACGTAACAATCAACGGTCACGAATTGGTTCGACCAAATGCTCATGATGGTAACTCAGCCTACTAGTCAGTCAAATCTGTTTGATTGCAGAAAGTCTTCAACCAATATTCAACCACTGTCCCCCTCACTCATACTCTAAAAGCCATAAGTAAGTAAGGTGATGATGACTGCTACCGCCTGAAGCCGAAGCCTCAACAAAATGCTTACAGTTGGAGCCTACCGTCCTCGACCAACGGCCTGAAGTACAGCTCGATGGCATCTATGTTCGATGAACCTGCACCTTGGCGGCGGACAGCATCAAAAAAGGCACCCGGAAAACCGCAAACCCGCGTCTTGCTTTGACTCTAGGCCCTGAAGGCTGCTCGACCCCTGAAGAGGGTGTGGCGGGTCTATTACATCAAAGAAGCCAAAGCCACTGGATTTGCACATTGGCATGCGACATGCGTTGACCCGATCCATGCCTTTACCAGAAACATGTTACAGGTCAGGTCCTGGTTGAATTGTTGAATTTGTGTTCCGAGGAGATCTCCCCAAGTTCTCTGGCTGCATTGGGTCGACAAACCAACAACCAGTCAGTGAGCCTCTCTCTTTTTTTGGCACTCCACTCAAAGAACAGATTTCGCATGATCTCACGAAATGAGGAAAACCGCTGTACTTTCTGAAGCAGAATCTGAAGCTGCAAGAGAATGAAGTCTTCCGTTTGGTTTGAGGTACCGCAACAAATTGACGATTAGTTCACGACATCAAACACGGTTCAGAATGTTCGGTTTATTGAAAGCCTCATTCAGCGCATATCAGCCGGTGACTGACGGTAGACTTCTCTTGAGCGTCTTGAGCGCCTCCAGGTCGAGAAGACCTGGCAAGTCGTAGGATGTGCCCCTGTGGCACGATCGAATCGACTTCGTGGAAATAAAGGAACATTCTGAGTTCAGTTCATTTTGTATCTCATGCATGCTTCAAGACATTACAGTAAGACTACCGTAAAGTGAACTCTGCTTTATGCAAAAGGTTCAAGTTCGACGGTTTCTCAGGGCGCGTCGGTTTTCGTGATTTTTGGTGAATCCCTATAGCACCAGGGCTGCTTTCCATAAAGGACTGACTGACAAATAGCTGATAGCTGTCTCTTGTCAGGCTAATGTCGTCCTAGTAACAATTTAGTTATTCAATAGTCTTGCCACTGCAGGACCATGTGCCACGACTTCGACTCCCAGACTCCCACTACTTGATGAAGTTGAAGGCAAAGGGGTTTTCGTTGGTGTGCCGTGCGGTGGTGAGCAGAACAAATTTTGAGACATTTCCTCAACAAAAATGTAAACTTAAAGTTGGGTGCCCTATCCATTACGTGTGAAGGATGAGTATCGACAAAGCATTAAATAAAGGGCTGGTAGGGAATCAGCTAACACGAGCCTGAGTCAGTTTGATGCTCTCCTGTGCGTTGACCATCGCCTTCAATGAGGCATGGAGCTATCTGCCACGGAGCGTGCTCAATGGACCCCAGGCACAAATTGGGAGGGGGTGAGTGTGTCCAGCTAATCTCATCGTCATCAAAATACTTAATAATCGACTCCCTTCTTTCAGGTTTACCTTGAGTCAGGGTCCCTGTAATGCCTTTGCTGGTGGTGTCTGACGTATTTTCCAATCCCGCCACTGCAGGCCTCTTCGTCGTGCACCATAGCACGGGCTACGCGCTCATGTCCCTAATGTGATGCGCGGTCATCTCAGAAACATATTAAATATAGTAGCCTACCTGGTACCTACCTACTGTAGTAGCCTATCTGGTACCTACCTACTGTCGTCATGCGATGTGAGCCTGAGGCCATTCATTCGAATGAGATGCCTTCCCGAAATGTCATCGCGTTTTGTTGAAAAAACAGCGTTGTGTGAATGCGAATGCCGCTGCATGCAAGTGCCTTCTGAACTCATTCGCTTGTTGCGCACAATGATGATTGCTCTTTGGCTGAGGTTGGACCTGGCAACCTGACACCTTACAGAGGAGCGCTTGCGTATGGAACAGTGCTTGGTTTCCGGTCCAGGTATTTGATATTGCGGGTTGATAGAGTGTTGAATTGATATTGCGGTAGAATTGGATCCTATTGCGGGGCTCATATGTTGCGGGTGGTCCTAGATATTGCGGGTGATCATACGCAGGTGGATATTACGGGTGAGATATTGCGGGCGGTCGTATATACTGCGGGTGCCGTACTACCGGCGCCGGGATGCCGGGATCCCGGCGCCGGCGCAAAGACCTCAATGCAAGCCATCGTTTTTAAGCTCGGCCGCTGGTAGGACCATTGGTCTAGATCTACCTGACAGAGTCGGAGATTGTCTTGCACCTGGAGGCGACTTTGGCGGGGGAGGGCAGTGACGGTGGTGGCGGTGGTTGTGGTGGTGGCGGTTGTGCGGTCACTTGGTGTGTCCGCTGCTGTAATCTTTTCAGCGGGGGATGGGGTGAAGACCAAGGGGAGATTGGTCTTCGAAAGGGATCGCAAAACAGTTCATACACTCAAGACATAACCTAGTCACTTCTAGATTCATACTCAACCAACACTCAAGACATAACCTAGTCACTTCTAGATTCATACCCAACCAACGCTCAAGACATAGTACAGTGACTTCTAGATTCATTCATACTCAACCATCGCTCAATACATAACATAGTGACTTTTAGATTCATTCTCAACCAACGCTCAAGACATAGTATAGTGACTTCTAGATTCATACTCAACCAACGCTCAAGACATAATATCATAGTGACTTCTAGATTCATACTCAACCAACGGATGACCAACCATGTTGATGCCATGGCGGCCAAACAATTGAATGTCGATCTTCCTCAATCTGGTCTGGCTAGACGCCGTGCATTGCAAAAGATCTACGAGGAAACCCGAAGCTCGTTCGTTGCCTATTGAGTATCTGTTTTTAAAACTTAACAACACACACACACACGGTTTGTCTTCAGTCTTGGCTGCATTTGTTAGGAAAGAACAAGCGGCACCAAAAGAAGAAGCCTTCAAAGTCTTCAAAGTCTGGCGATTCGATTGTTGATGATGGTGAGAGAGCTCTGATAGATGAAAATGCACGTTTACGATTGAAGGTGGAGGAACTTGAACGCCACCTTCGGGCCGCTAAACGAGATTTAGCCAAGACCGAAAATCGTGTTTGGGAGCTTGAAACAAGCTTACGCACATTTAAGCTGCTGTCCATACGCAAGCCATGAAACCGGGGGATGTGTGTTGAAAAGGGCGTTGAGGTCTTCTTTGGAACGTTCAGTCGTGATGGCTTTTCATGTTTTCAACTTGAGTTTGAGATTGCTGCACCGGCCAGGCGGCTATGCTGACTGAAACTTTGTGATCTTTTCCGCGTTGAGAAAAAGAGTGCAGGGTGAAGTGGAACAAAGGCTGTACAACCTGAATCTAAAATGATGATACCTAAATGCAAGGAAATTGACTTATAAATAGATAGGAATAACGCAGTAACATAGGCGTTTCGCGAAGGATCGAATCATGTCAACCACATAACCACCAAGGCTCTGCTGCGCACTTCGCTTCTGAAGAGCTGCTGGAGAAGAACCGGGGCATTAAAGCTTTAAAGGAAGGAAGAGGTACAGGCGCGATGTGGAATGAGTGGAATGAGTGGATGAAGGTGCTGTTTTTGCGTCATGAGTGGCATCCAGTTCTAAGTGTTAGCATTGGGCCAAAGAAGGCGCGAACTTTAAGCTCAAACTCTGGGTTTGGCCCCAACTGTGCAGCTTCGCACTGAGTGATCCAGCTGATTGACTTGAAACAAGACTCGACCAGCATCGTGATCCAGACGAGGTGGAGACCTCGGGGATCACCTTCCAATTGAGTCAGTTCTTTTTGTTCTCCATGTGAGACACATTCCCAGACGCGACCCATGGGACTGTCATAGGACTGCCGATCAGGCCAGGCATAATGGGGGGGTCAATGGGGCGGCAGTCCTATGGCAGTCCCATTAGTCGTGTCTGGGATTCATTCCTGGTTCCAGACCTTGAACATGATTTTCATGACCCATCGACTGAAACAACTCTTCCATGTCCCCCCAGTGTTTGGGGTCAGATCTTTGACGCGCCGTCCCCAGCGTTTTTCCTTTTTTCAGTCGGACCTTTCTCGCTGCTCCAGCCCCGAATCGCGGCGATGCTCTGGTTTCTCGAAGCGTTTTTCACCGCAAGTGGTGAGGCTTGTGTGGCAACTACATTGCACCTTGGCCAAATGGAGGTGAGACGATAGTCTCTCCAACGTGTTCATGTTGGGCGACGGGGCCCTTCTGCGAAGAAGTGAATCACTTGTACACCTTGCGGTTTGGGGCAAGCGAGTCATTTAGTGAACTTACCAGATGGACGGACAGGTGATAGAGCTTATGAGCATATTTTGAAAGCTTTATGCCATAAACAGTATGAATATGTATGAATCATATAAGACAAGAACATTCTTTTCTGAAAGAACTATTATTTCCAACACATTGGATTCCCTAGGTATGTATGAATCATAAGACAACGTATGTTAACGTAAGAGAACAACTTTTGATCTTGGTTTACGTCTCTACGTCCCGCGTCCATCACTGAGTTGCTCCGTCTGCGAGTCTGGTCACGCATGCCGGGAGGTTGCCGGGTGTGGGCCCGCATGGTTTTGCTTTTTGAGGTCATGGAGGAGATCGGCAAGGGAGTCTACGGCTCTGTGTGGCGTGCAGAGGAGTTGAACTCGCTGGAGACCTTCGCGATTAAGCGGCTTGGCCTTCGCGGACCTGGTCACGACAAGGGTTTCAGGGGTGGTTCTTCCGACGAACATCGAAGCAATCTTGGTCAACCATATGACGCGACGTGTCCGGGACTGCCAGTCCGGACTGCCGAGAAACGGCCAGGGGTGGTGGTGCCAGGGGGGTCTGTCTCGGGCGGCAGTCCTATGGCAGTCCCATGGAGTGTATGGGTACGAGAAGAGGTATCATCCTCTTAGCGGTGTCTCAAAACCACCGGACTTGGAAGGTCTTGGTACCAAGCTTCTCCCCAGCATGAACCCTGCGGGGCCTAGAAGATCCAGTTAAACACTCCCAGCAACCACCCCAAAATATGTATGGTCTTTTCCTGTCAAGACCGAGGTCACTCAGGCTCTAGGTCACCAGCGGTTCCAACCTGTTCCAGATTCGACCAAGACCGAGCGCAACGGGGTCGTGGTTCCTCAAAAGCGGCAATGAGTGGCTCCACTGCAAATCCCATGGGATCTCAAAATGGAAGTTCTTCAGTGAAGTTCCCTGTCGACAGGACCCATCTGACTGGCATCTTGAGCTACATTGGGCTGGTTGATTTCAGGGGGATCCCAGTAGGGTTTCAGGTGCGTCCATGACCTTCCAACAGGCTGTGACTTGGGATCCGACCCAAGTCCAGTGGTTAACCTGTGCACCGGACTTGTCTATGCCCCCCCCAAAATAAGATAGAAAAGCTGTCCATCCCTTTCAAAGATGTATGGGACACCGTGCCACTATCATCCACTATCTATTTGCCCTAAGAATCAAGGACCCTCAAAGGTGAAGGTTTTGAGGGTCCAAACCCCTGCTATGCAGGGTCAAAACTTTTCAAAACCCTCCATAGGAGGGTCCAATGATTCTTAGGGTGGGAACCACTTATTGCCAGTCCCAAAAAACAGGTCGTGTTGGGGTTCCTGCCACGTCGGGTCGGGTTCGGCGTCACGTGTGGCGCGTGGCTTGAGGTGCCCACGCCCCCGTTCACGCATGGAACGGTGCCCACGGCGCCCTCCCAGAAACATCATCAACCACTGGGACCACTGGGACCACTGGGACCCACTGGCACATGTCTTTTTTTGTGAGGTACCTAGCGCTTCCGGTGACCTTTTTCAAGCAGTGTGGGGTTGTCCAGCCAGGTAACCCATTCAAAGTTAGCTGGTAGACATGTTACCCCTGAATTCGGACCTCAATTGTTTGTATGTGACGCCAGTCCCGTCATCGTCCTCGCTGCCCAGTTTCCCCACGGTGCGAGCTCCAGCTCCGGAGCGGTCGCCGGGTGGGGTGTCAGGGCCCTAGGCCCCCCACTAGAACTAAAGATGGGTGTCTCACAACAGCGAGCACGGGAGGTTGGTGGTGGTGAAGGGGAGCTTGCTCCCCATTTTCAGCACCCACCCGAACCTCGCCGTGGGGCTGTTTTCGGTGATTTCAGCGTCTCCATGGCCGGTACCCACCAACCTCGGCGTTCCTCGAGCCGTCCTTCGACACGAAGCTCGGCGTTCGAGGAAGCTACACCTGGACCAGGAGTATTGGACGGATGGCATTCCAGTCCACACGCTACGGGAGGCGAGCGACGCTTACCTCGCGGGTGTTCCCGAGGTTCGAACGCTGCCAGGGGTTTTTCGGGGCACGGGTGTCATAATCATAGCCCCCCTTAGAGGTTCTCATGGGGGTATCCATTAACCACCCGTAAAAAGGGGGCTTGGGGACGTGGGGACGTTTTTGTTTTTTTAGAGGTCGAACTGGTACGCCGGAACATCACCAGGGGCACACCGCGTTTTGGCCCACACCGCGGTTCGGCGAAAGGTGGTTTGGTGCGGCACGTGTGGTCGTTGGGCACGAGTTAGGATCGCGTTCGTTCCCGTGGTTTCCTCTACCAGAACCCTCCAACGGGTCGCTTGTCCAGGCTTAAAAGTCGCAGGGGGTGACCTGTTGGAGGGTGCTGGTAGCAATTAGTCAGATCATGTTCAACTTGGACAAAGGGTGTTGGAAATTCCACCAAAGAATGATCCCCAGACGAGTTTGGAGACAGGGGTGTTCCGTCTTGCATCGTTTTTGCATCCAGCGTCAAGCCCTTTCTTTGGCCTGGAACCCCAAACAACTAGAAACAAATGGTTGTTCCAATATGGCAATTGAAATCCTTTACATAGGAAATGGTTGTTTGGGGAAACATCCATTTCTTTCTGGTTGTTTGGGGTTCCAGGGGTATCCTTGTAGCTGGAAGACGCTGAAAAAACCATCGCTAGGTTTCGTTTGGACCAGACTGTACCATCGGACTGGCATTGGAACTGCCAGACCATCGGGTGGTAAGGAGGTCAATGTGGAACCGAAACCAAGCTCGGCTGTGGGACCCGACCCATAGGCCCTAGCCTTCAAAGACCATTAAAAGAACGGTTGAGCTGGTGGTGTAGTGTAAAAATCCTTAGTAAAACAATGGTTCTTTGGTAAAGACCATTAAAACAATGGTTGTTTGAATCCTAGGGATAGGTGGTTGGGCCCAGGGCATCCGGACGTGTGCGGATGCCGAAACACCGAACCAACGGATCCGTCCCAGCACCGCCGGACCTCGCGCCCACGGTCCCGTGGTGCGGCACGGCACCCGGCCTGCTTGGGCTGTGCTCAGATCTCATTGTTGCGGAAGTTCCGTCACCAAAACATCGTCCAGCTCAAGGACGTTTTGGAGGCGGGTGCTTGGGGATTTTGGATTCGAGTGTGAAAACGCCGCGAGAGGTTTTGGATGAATTCCTGGGTGTTTGAGGGAGAACTCGGTGGTGAGCTGGTACTGAAGTGAAGCTATATAGTCACTGAAGCCAGAGTGCTAAGAGTGTCAGGGTGTCCTGGCTGGACTACCCAACCCACTACTATCCGGGAGTACACCCAGACAGGAGTGGAGGGTTTTGGGGTGCGCTGATCCTACCACTCGCCTGACCAAATCGCCTCACCACATGGTGAACAGGGTGAAAGATTAGCAGTTGAACCGATCAGCTTCGCTGCCGAGGACCTGCTCGACCCCCAAGGGCGGCTCTTTGCCCACGACGTCCCACGCTTTCGATCGACCCTCGGTTTCTGACCCAAGAAACCCCCATGCCTCGACGAGACGCGCGGAACTCTCGGGTCGCAGAGTTTGGGTCGCCACTTCAGGCGGGATATATGGACATCCGCCTCGTCTTCGAGTACCTTCCATGCCACCCGGCTCGAGAACCCCCCGGCTCGGAGAGCCGCTGGTTTCGCGGCGAATCCGGCGGAAATGGTGTATGTGCCGCTGGATTCGCTGGGGTTTTGTTCGACGCACATGGCTTGTGTTTGAGTTCTCTAAGGGGGAAGACTTGGGGCTTTGAAGTTCCAACTGGAACAGAAACCAATGTTGGGGAGCTTCTTGGTGGGGTTGCGTGCGGGTGTTTTCTGTCACATCCTCTCACCTGCGATGGGTCCAAGAACCGATGCCATCGGGAACGAACGGAAGGCCCAGGCCGACGGCGGGGAAAGCGCTGCGCTCGGCCTCAGGTGATCTCTTTGAGACGCTGAGGGCTTTGAGGAGGACCGCGGACACCGGGGTAGACTGCTGTATACCAAACAGAGGAAGACTACGAAGTGGGAGGCGTCGTTTCGCCATTTCTTGACCCCCTGTCCCGGTGGCTGACCGCTGGAGAAGAGGCCCGGATGGCACGTTGGGGACACCCAGGATGGGGGTGGTACGGAAAAAGTTGACTGGTTTGAAGGTTCGAAGATGTTCGAAGCTTCTAATATGGTTTCATGGTTCTAGAAGTTCTAGGTTCACATGATACAAACATCTACAAACACATGATCAATGTGTTACACCGAATGATGAAGTCCATTTTCATTGTATGATTCTTGGTGATGTAACATATAACATCATATAACATATAACAACTGAATAATACTGAAGACATGGAACGACATGGAAAAAATCAGTCCCTTTGAGTACTGGAGTCCCTGCGCTTGTCGACAGTCGGGTCCATTCTCCATGTCTGTGTTAAACGCAGACCAGTCGTGAAGAACCTGTGTACGCAAGAGGACTTTGCTGGTCAACCTCTCTTGGAGACTCCGGAAAATGTCCAATGCTTCTCAACTTTCAAAGGCGCCACTAGCTTGTCCTGAATTTTCTCCGATGGATGCTGATTTCCAGGAACGACCAGATGATGCCGATGGAGATGCTCGGTGCAAAGTCATTTTGACTGGGGCCAGTGGTTGTTGGATGGAGATGGGGGAAAAGACAGGAAAAGACGGATGGCTCCAAAACCTCATGGAGGGATCACTGGGGAGCATGCAGGGATCCGTCATCGGAGACTACATGGGTCGAGAATGGATTCCGATCTTCCAGCAGAAGGTCTAGGTCTCCCAGGATTCTTAGGCGCTCGTCGACGTCTCACCTGTAGGGTTGGCTGCTACGGTTTCACCGGACTGGGCAGGTGGACCGTCTGTCCGTTCAACCCCAAAAAGGTCCTGTCCTTGGTCCAGTTGTCCTCCCCCCCTACTTCCCTCGTCCGGCGAGCGAGTTCACCTCTTCTTCAGCTCGCAGGGCCTTGCGACGGTATAGCTCGGACTTGCTGGAGGGCTTGTTCGCATGTCATGTCAGGCCGGATCCGGCACCCACCTGTGACGTCTCACCGCGACGCACCGGCTCCGTCGGTGTCTGCCGGACTCCTAAGGATGGACGATGCCATACATCGGGGTTCAGATGGGTTCAGCAGCCCCCAAAAATCAAAAAAACAGGTCCTACCAGCACCGGACTCAGGGTGCTGGTTATTTTTTTCCGTACCAAGACCGAACCCAAGCTCGGCTGTTTTGGAACCCGAAGAGGTGGTGAACCTGGGCACCCAGGAAACCTGCTAGCAACATGTTAGCCTTTTCATCAGTCCCAATCAGTGCCGGGTGGGCTGGGATTCATGAGTCAAAACGGAAGTTCTTTCGGGGCGTGACCTGACGGACGCAGGGGGGGCGTGACCTGACGGAGGGAAACTGTTTTTGCCGAGACAACATGCCGCCCAGAAAAGAAAAGGCACCTGCCAGGAGCATCCTGTCTGTCCTGGCTGGAGTATCCAGCAACACTATCCGGGATCGACACACTACTATCGTGGGAGGCTCCTGGCAGGTTCATTCTTGGCCCTTTGCAGACCATCCCATTCCCATGCACTCCATATGGGACTGCCATATCTGCCGCCCCATTGACCCCCCAAACCACCCCAATGTAGGCATATATGGCAGTCCCATTAGTCGCGTCTGGGATTGAAATAAGAGTGACCTCTCAGGCTCGGGAGTCTCGTGATTTTGTGAGCGGACATCCTTATGTGACGATGGGTCGCGTCTGACAAAACGCGGACAAACGTAGGCTTTGGCAAAAGCAGACGAAGAGATGAACACTCTCTTACAGGACCATCCAAGAGGTGTCCAAAAACCACCTGTTGGAAGGTCGTGGTCTATCTCTCTCTCTCTCTCTTTTTGGGGTCGATGACATTCGATGACAAGGACGTATCTTGTGGCAGTCAGGACCGCCAAGCAGTTTTGGATAGTTTTGGTGAACACCAAGCCACACCAGCAAAGTGCGTTGCCGTTCCTTTTGTTCCAACTTCTGGATCCTTTAGGGAAAAGTCATGAAACGTCTGCAGAAGGATGCCCTTTCCGGGAAAACTTCGAACATGCTGCTTTCTTCGGCCTTACCAATATCCAGACGCGCCATGTACCAGGACCTTCCCAGAGGTGTCTATAAATAGCCTCTTAGAGGTGGTTCGGGGTGTCCAAAAACCACCAGGCTTGGTGGAAGGTCCTGGTATGGCATGTTGACCTCCATTGGCCCCGGCTGCATCGATCGGGCAGGGGGATCATTCATCGGGATTTGAGGCTCGTTTCGCAAGGAGTGATCGGCCGCGAAAGCCGCGCTGATCATGGGTGTGCGGAACGATGTTCCAGATGCCATGGATCGCCATGTGCGGAAGATTGTAGATATCCCATACACGACGACCATGGGACTGCCATAGGACTGCCGCCCCAGACAGACCCCCCTGACACCACCCCTGGCCGTTTTCTCGGCAGTCCGACATGGCAGTCCCATGGGTCGTGTCTGGGATATGATATGCTTCTTCGATACATGGACCCCGGGTCAATCGCCCTGGCCTGATCGGTCACTATTCCATCCAGGGTGAAAGGCGATCGGATGGATTCGAAATGCGATGAATTTCTGGGGGGATCCGGTGAAGATCCCGTTGTTCGATGGAAAAATAGTGGTAATAGAGGGGCTCTTCTCTTCAACAAACACTTCCTGGTCAAAGGATCACATAACTATATAATTGAACCCATTTGACCTCTGTTTTAAGTGGGCAAAGACCATGTTTTGGCCTCCAAAACAGGGGGCTATAGATTATATTGGATTGATTGTGTAAAGACTTTCGCGGAAGACCCTTCCCTGTTCTGCTAGCCTTTGCCGTTCCGTCGGGATGAAGCAGGACACCCAGACGCTCCATAGAAAACTGGAATAGCTATATATATATATATACTTACATTGGGACCCCGATGTAACTATTCCAGTCCCTTGGATGGTCTGGGGTCGGGCACGCAGCATCTCGAATAAAGTTGGACACAAACCCAGACACTCCATACGCGGCATAGGTGCCAGAGGGAGTCGATCAAAACCACCCGGAATTCACCCTGCTAGGTTGACCCGGAGCAGTCGATTCTGTTCATGTTTTGTGGGAAAGACCAGGGTTTTCACGGAAAAAACCACCGGGGCCATGCAACAAAAAACTAGCAACTTGGTCAGAATTTTTGATCTGATGACACCAACTTCCCCACGTCGTCAGGAAACCTCAGAAACGGAAAAAAACACCGCCTGTCCAAGTCTTTTAAGTCTTCAATCATCCCAGACCATTCATGGGGCTAGAATAGTTTTTACATGTTTTTACACTTACCCCATTTGTGGCCCCTTCATGATGGTCTCAGCCTGGATGCATGGTTCTCTCCGTCCTCCATTCTCGCTGGGTTCCCCCAGCCAAAGCTTCGACCGTTCGTGCCGGTGGCGCAGGTGGGTGCAGAGGTCCCATGCGAAAACATGAAAATATAGGAGGACATTCCCTTGACTGCTCGGTTTAACCGAATCCCAGACGCTCCATGGGACTGCCATGTCGGACTGCCGAGAAAACGGCCAGGGGTGGTGCCAGGGGGGTCAATGTAGACATATTATTCCATACCAGGACCCTCCTGTCGCGGTGTCTATTTCTAGCCCCTTAGCTGTTAATAAGGGGTGTCCATTCACCACCCCGACTGGGGGTGCCGGTATAGGAGGACATACCCTTGACTGGTGGACCAGACCCCCTTCTTCGGTTGGATCCAAACCCTCAATGTGGCTTTTCTTCACTCCGCTAAAAGCCGGAGAAGAACACACACTACGAGCTGCGCCCCAAAAGACCACGGGCCGTCTCGACGCGCGAGCGGTCGTCGAGCCTCGGACTGCGCGGCCGCGTCGGTCTGGCGCCGCGGAGAAGAGGCTCGGCTCGGCTCGCTCAGGAAGCCTCAGAACATTCTGCTGACTCCTGAGGGCTCTTTGAAGATCGCAGACTTCGGTCTCTCGCGGCGACTGCACAGCCCTGACCGGAGTGCCTTGGAGGAGGGCACCGGCACCAATCCTTTGGATCGTGAAGGAGTGGAACGAAGCTTCGGACGGTGGGTCCCTTCAGTCCAGGTGTCCCATAGATGTCTGGACCGACACACCCCGGACTGATGAGGTGTCGACTAGATCAATCGCCTCGTTTTATGAGGTGCCCCAAACTTGTTGGGGCCATAGCCCTCTGACTGTGTGTCACCACCTGGCTTGATGTCCCAAATCCATAGGGCCATCATTGACATAGTGTCCGTCCAAATCACCAGACGACTGGAAGGTACCGTGGTGGTAACACCCCCGACGTTGGGACGATGTTGACGCTGGTTCCTGTGTCGAAGTGACCACTACCACTTCAGCGGTGTCAAAGAACCCATGGGACTGGTATATCTTCCGCACATTTTATGCATTTTCATCCATAAAATCGGCCAAACGGCAGAACTTTGGATAGTTGGAAGATCTAATTCGTATACATTGACCCGGTCGAACTGGAGTTCTAGCGACCGGGCGCGCAGATGCGGTTTGGAGGGTCGGGAGAGAGTCTCACCCAGAGACCGGGCACCCTGATGGACAGGTTCCCCAATCCATCCAGGCAAACCACTTGCTACCTACCAGGACCAGCCTGTCTGCGTGTCCGGACCACCCCACACTACTCAGACAGGGCACCCCGATGGTCGGATGGTCAGGTAGAGTATACATTTGATCATTGCTTGATCACGAAAACACCATGTGTTGGCTCCAATCAAGTTCTAGGGTTCGCCTCACTGGTCTTGTCCCAGTGCTTCCAGCCAGTTCAACGACCTTCTAACCGCGGTTCCCGGGCCCCCTCGATCCCTACCAGGACCGACACCCAGAGGTGTCGACCATCAATAGCCTCGTTTGATGAGGTGATGACCGGGGGTGTCCTTCCAAACCACCAGACTTGCCAGGTTTCGGTCCTGGTAGAAGTCCACTATCTTTGACCAAGTAAAGGAAAGTCCTGAACTCGGGTCACCTAGTCAAACCATTCCTTTTGTCTTGATAGCCTTCGACTCCGGTACTCGTGGCTGCAAAGACCGGATCCGGGCCACCGGGTCAGAACGGGGTGGTTGCCCAATCCGAGACACACGGATTGAGACGTTCCGGGATGATCGACCCTTTTCGGCCGGGCCCGGTTTCAACGGCTTTGGTTCGGTTCTCTGGACCCTCCCGGAGCCCGGAAACGGATCCGCCGGTCTGTGTGATGACGCTGTTGGACGTCCTTTGTTGGACACGAGGATCAAGAAGATCATCTACCCAATATCTACCCTAAGAAGGCCACATAAGGGCCTGGTGAAAAATACACAAGGCACGGCACCGGGTTTTGTTTTTTGGGTTTCTTCGGGTGTTCCGACCCCGGAAAACTCATCAAACGTAGTAGGCTGACTGTCATGTAGACTCTTGAGGTACATAAACCCGTCACCCCGGAGATGAATTGAACAACCTCTTAGGGTTTGTACCTGAAGAGTCTACAACATGTCTACTTTCTGAGTGGATCTGAAAGGAAGTTTCCTTGAAACAGAATACTCAAGAGCTCAAGAGCTAAGTACCTGGACCTTCCACTGTCAGGTTTTGGTCGTTTTCACCGGACTGGACCTCGATGTGAGGTGGAACCGTCGATAGACCGTAGATGCGGAGGTGGAGAAGTGTGAGAAGAGGGTTTCACCCCGGATGCAAAGGGAGCCAGGGAGGCATTGGTTCTGAAACCCTGGGTTCTCATATTGGGTCAATTCTCTGTCTCCCCATCTAAATCCTCCGAGCATCGGCACCACAGACACCTCATGGACATCCTAGGCTACACTGTGGAGGTCATCACCTTGTGGTACAGGCGCGCCATATGACGATCGAAACCGCGCGGAGTTGCCACGCGGAAACCGCAGGGAAACCGTCGCTGCTTGGGGCGTCCCTGGAGTTGAGTTCACCTGCAGAACCTTTGGGGTCCGACGCTAAGAGTGAGCAGGACCTACATGGACCATCCATGGTTTCACCCATCCATGCGGCGAGAACTAGCTCCAGATTTTTCTTTTCAACATGGATGGTCTTAGATTCGATCTGAGGGACCACAAGCGATGATGGAAGGTTCAGAAAACCGGAGATGTTTGCTCTTCAGAAAACCGGTGATTGTCCTGTCTTCGAACCGCAATGTCAGGGGTGAACAAGTGATTTTTTGGAAGCGCATCAGGATTCGACAAGTATTTTTTTTGAGGGGAGATCAGCACTCCTCAAGGGGTCACTCATTGCACCTTCACAATTCAGATGGTCGCAGATATTGCTGCTTCGGGGATCTACAGCTATTTCAGCTATTTCTTGCGTACATTGTTAAGTTAGTGACTTAGAACCGGTGTGATGTGGTGTTGTTCATGTTTTGGGGCACACATTTTTTCAGCGTGGGCAGTTTCACACGCCATCATCACCCCGGCACTTGACGGACAATCCCAGACCATTCATGTATGGAACACATACATTTTACAGTACTATCATTTACTGTACCCCATTTCATTTACTATCATTTACTGTACCCCATTTGCTACTCTGATGTCGGTAATTATTCCAGTCCCATGAGGTGTCTGGCAATGTTTGGATGTCGCGAGCGAAGTCTTTAAGTTGTGTTCTCGCTTGGAGATGGTAGGGAGAGCGCGCGCACACACTTAGGAAATGCGTACTGAACTGAATGCCACTTGCCACACGGCAACCTAGGGAACCATATTCCTGAGAAGGTCTTGTAAGGGGGTCTGATCATGTCTAGTCAGTGGCAGGCCAAGAGGTCCAAATCCAGAAGGTAACGACGCGACGAACAGGGCGAAGTGACGACGATCGCTCTCATCTGCAGAATGGTGAACCGCTGCAAAAGGCTGGAAATTGTTCTAGCTACAAAGGGGCCCAGAAGGAAGTGAATGGTAATCATCTTCGCGCAGGTACGTGCAATCTGCGTCCAGATTGCATATCACAGCAAACTTGAAGTGTCTTCGTTGAGCGTTGACTTCAAGAATGCCCACCGCTCCCCTGCAAAAAATCAACTGATTCCGTGTGTTTCCAAGGGTTTCACACACACAGAGACCAATTTGTGTTTCTTCGGTCAGTGCAGCAGTTGGTAACATCATGACAGTGTCACCACTTGGAGTAAAGATCCCCTTTAGGGCATTTCTATTTGTGGAGGTTCCAGTGAATAGTTAGCTCCTGCCCAGTGATACCGGTATCCCCTAAAAGATTCCGTCCCTCCAAGCATCACGGTTACGTGAATGGCATGGCCCCGTAAGGAAGATGACAATTTTCCTCTACAAATTTTCACTCCACGTAACTACGTGATGTCTTCGTTGGGGGACCTCAGCACTTCAACAGCTCCTCTTTCGCAAGTAAAGGTGCCTTCCAAGAGGTGTGAGGTGTCTATTCATAGCCTCTTAAAGGTTAAGGAGTGTCCAAAATCAAACCTGTTCGAAGGTCCTGGCACTTCCATGTTTGTTGGAGGAGGGGCAACCCTCCACTTCCTCGCGCACGCGTTTTTGGCTGAAAAAAAACGCTGACAGCCCAGGGCACCCGAGTTGCTCTTGGGAGCACTGCGCTACTACACGGAGGCCTCGACTGTCTGCAGGGGGTATCCGTTTGTCAGAGGTCAGAAGAGAATCCTTTGCAGTACAAGTATCTGCTGTGATGTGTCTATTGTATGTCCCACGACCAACTCGTTTTGAGATGTCGGCCTGCAACCAGGCCCCATCATCATCCAAAACGGGCCCAGGGTGTCTGGGATACCCAAGAGGTGTCCTTTAAATATCCAGCAACATCCGGGGTTGGAAACAGAGAAAACACAAATTACAGAGATCCTCTTAACTTCCTAGCCACCCCCGGCACCTTGGGGGTGGCCTTCGGGAAACCAATGGAGTGGATATGCCGCGGGGAACAGCCCGACTCCCTGTTTCACTCGGATAGCTCCCCTATACCCTCCATGGAATTGCTGGGATATGTATTTACTGCTGGTATGTGAGTGTGTTTTTAAATGGAGAGAGCTTCTTTCTCGTCCCTGGTCGTTTCCTGGGAGGTCTCCCTATCTTAATACACGCTCATATGGGTTCTATACCTAGACGCCCCAGACCCGGGGTGGTGGTTGAAACCCAAGTGACAACGAAATGGACACCCCTGCGGCCCCACTAGAAATGGACACCCCTTTTCTTTGGTGTCCTGCGATGTTTCTTTTTGGCGATGGTGATCGAACATCGAAACGTCGTGAAGAGAACTGACGTCTATGGACTTCTTCGATTTATATATTGAAGACCTTCCCATTCTTCACAGGATACGAATGAACCAATCACCTCTCTGTGTCCATCCCTCGATCGGTGATCCACCCAAGCTGGATCTTCAAGGGATGTTCGTAGGGTTGTCGTCCGACTCTGCGGCTGTGTTTCAAAGGGGGGCTGCCTTTCAAAGGGGGGCCTCCTGAAGGGATGAATGGGCAGATGAATCCTTGCATTGTCAGCCCCAAGACAGACCATCCAACAGGCTGGAATAGTTACTGTACATGTCTTTCACCCTATCCAAAAACGACCCATCCATGCTGGCGTAACTCTTCCACAAAAAACTTGGATGGTCTGGGAAAGACAGTTAAACATGTTAAAACCAATCGAACATGACACCACCATGAACACGGATTGCAAGTCGAGCAAGGGGAAGCTTCTGACCATTTGGTACGGTTTGACACTCTTCTGCAGACGTTCTGCGCCCGGACAGCCCAAAGCTATGAATAGTTACCGGCACCTTCATGTGGGTCTCCAACAGACTACTCTGCACTACTTGTGGATCATCATTTTTCGCACCCTGCCATGAAGGTCCTATAATGACACCTAATTATGTGAGGTTGCTCACCAATCCTCCTCGAATCCGAAAATGCATCACAAATGGTTGAGCTGAATTTCCGTCGTGTTCGTTTTCTTTTGTAAAACATGACCATGGTTGTTTGGTTTTCTACCAATGAAATCCATGGGCCTGAAATGCCTTTGGTGTTCCGGATGTTCTTTCCATCACCGAATTTTGGAGAAGAAAAACCACCGAAAGCAAATTTTGCCCTCCGGTAACTGGTAACGCTTCTTGTTTGGGTGTTCTTGGGTGGGCAGCCACGCGGGCCGAGCGTTTTGCGGGAAGCCACGACTTTGAAAAGCCGTCGTGTTTGGTCTGACCTTCAGTCCCAACTCAGCTGTTCCCTACCTGCCACCAGGTCTCCACCTGCAATGTTTCTGAAATTCGCTTCAATCGCCATCAGGACCATCCTGTTTGGGTGTCCAATTGACTGCACTGCTTAGGGATCTCCAGCGAGGAGACCCTGATAGAATGGTCCAGGTATATCCCAAGAACATCTCTCATCACTAGATGTCCCAGTCAACTCAACTGCGCCACATGACTTCGTGATGTGGCCACCGACAACTGCGCAACGTCCACCGGTCTGGTCCGCCCGTCCGGTCCCAGGTGGATATTTGGTCCGCGGGCTGCGTGATCGCTGAGATGGCGGCCAATCGTCCACTCTTCTGTGGAGATTCCGACCCTCGACTTCGCGCTTTGTCCTTGTGACGGCACCCCACCCGGTCCTGGTAGTCCTGGTACCAGGAAAGCGTCCAACGATGGATGAACATGATCTACCTGGGCTGGTTTTATCGATGCACAGGCAGACATGACTTGCACAGTTGGAAGAGCCAGGTATGGGTCCAGTGTCTTTAACCCAAAGCAAAGAATCGTTGCTTCTCTCCAACCATGTTTCTTTTGGGTGCAATAAGCAACACTAGGGTATCCATGAACACCGATCGCAAAAAAGGGGTCTTCTGGTTTCCATGCCCATTTGCCTTGAAACACAATCAAAAGAAAGGCTGACCTGGTTTTGTGGTCTAAATTCCTCAGCAAAACTCATGGTTGTTCAGTAAAACCCATGAATTCAACGCTTGGAATCCTAGGGCATGTTGGGACCAGACCAGACCAGGACCAGAGGACCTTCCAAGTCCGATGGGTTAATAGGGACACCCAAACCGGACACCCTATATTCGATACCTCTAAGACTAAGAGGCTCTTGATAGACACATCAAACGGAAGGTGCTGGTAGGGATCGAGTAGATGGTTATCGATTTGTGATTGGTTGGATGTTGTGGGGAGCGACAGTTCTGGGGAAGTACGTGGGCAACTGGTGGGAGGGAGTATCTCAGTCACAGGAGGGAGGGAGCGACCGAGCTTGCTCAGGGTATCCAGATGTCCCAACAAAAACAGAGAACTCTTTATGCCTGGACCTTCAAGGGCAGTGTCCAATGAAGATACCTAAGAGATCTAAGAGGTAAAGGGGCTTCCATTGGTGACCCCTTGGAAGGTACTTGTATTCACGGGACGTTGTCAGGTCCCACGTTTTCCACGTTTCTGCAAATACTCGTACAGTGAATTAGACACATGCATTGTATTATGACAATTCCACAGAAGTATCAAATTCTCAGTGCCATGGTATCCAGATAGCAATGTTAGCAACAGTTGTGTTTGGCTGATCCCAAAAACAAACACAGCAAAGTGTACGAGAGTAGAGGCTTTCAACAAAGGGTAGCAGAGCAGGGTCGATAAAAAGACACTATACCAGATAAACATGTTTTACTTTTTTCTTTTTTCGGTCGACCCCCTGCCAAAGCACTGACTTCTGTAAAGTGTAACGTAAAGTGTAGCAGATTAGGAGCCTTTGGCAAAGGCCAGGAGGAGGGTCGACCGAAAACGACATCAAAAAGAATACATGTTTTTTTGACCCCCCCTCCCAAGGAAGAAACTCCAGCAAATGCAGGAGAGTTGGATAATTTTTTTAACTTTTCGATCGACCCTCCTCCCAAGAAAGAAGAGTTGGAGCCTCCAGCCAAGTCTAGTAGAGCAGAGTGAAAAAACATGTTTTTGACTTTTAACACTATGTAATTTTCACCATTTTTTGGAAGGTATAACAGCTACGGGAAACTGAAGCATGCTGGTATTACAGTATATAGTGTTAAGATTGATGCTTTCATCATCAAGGCTGAAGATGAAAAGAACCCAAGGGAGTGGCTTTCATTACTAAGATTGGAGGCTGGAGAGTGAGCAAGTATGTGGATATGAAATTACCCAATGAACTTACCAAGTTGTAGAAAATCAAATTGTAGAAAGTATACAAACATCTAAAACAAAACAAACATAAACAAACCATGTATAGATTAGGATATGACTTGCAGGAGCAAACAAGAGTCATATCTGCCAGAAAATGGTTGATAACGGCTACACAATATCATTTGTATACTCTACTAATGGGGTATTACACAAATTTGACGGTGATGCCATACCAATATATAAACAAGATTTTTGGTATACGTTTTGGCAATTGAGTGTTTATTGGAAGGCCAAGTAGTTTGTTGAGCAATTTGTTTTTTGCTACACGTGATACCAGACCACAAAAATCCGTTCATGAGCTGACAAATGCCAAAGATTATGAAACAATATGCTGATGCAATGATTGACAATATGTTTTAGCATAAACTATTGCTGACAGTATATAAGAGACTGAACACAGAGAGGATGAACAAAAGCTAAACAATATCGAACACTATATACTTGTAAACACCCACAACCAAGCTAATTGAGAAATACTTTAGAGAGACTGAGATACTAATGATACTACGTCGTCAACATACAATATATATATATAACATGTTTGAAGACCTGCAGACAATCTTATAAATCATATGTATGGGTTCAACAAAAACGCAGAACACCACGTATTTTGGGGGACCTGGTGGCGTCCCACTCTTTTTATTTCATGGAGTTTATACGAGGAACCAACAACACTGGATTAGAGTGGACTGGACTTCCAGGCCACGTCTCTGGTCGCGCCTGCGAATAGATCCTTTCACCGTTTCCAAGACATTTTTTCAGAAGATGGAGTGCTGAGCCTTTTTGAAAACATTCGGCTGAGGCCACGTCCGACCGGGCAGAAATCACATTGGGAGCTGAAGATTGACCACATTCCCTGAACATGTTGTTCTCGAAGATTCGGTCGAGGTCGACCGGATTCTTCATGTGATTTTTCTAGAACCAGTCCGACCCAGTTCCTCTATGTTGGACCACTCAAAAGTATTCAAAACTGATCCAACTTCCTATTGCTCATGGACCTGGGCTCCCAAGGTCCATCAATCTCCTTTTGCCTGGACGTTGAACTTCTCGGATCGTTTTCCAGTCACCAAGGAAGTGGATACTCTCTTCAAGTGGCTTGGCGTTTTCACGGTCACCGGTCACCGGTCACTGTTGGAGGGGCCGTGAACGAGTCTGTGGGGCGAGAAGGCAGCAGAAAGGGGATTCTGTTTCTTTGCACGCAGGCGCTGAAAAGCCAGAAAATGGATTCTGCCTTTTAAAATCGGACAGTGATCTTCCACCATGCATGAAGTGGTCCGTCCCAGAAAACCCCCATCGTTCCTGGTTTGGCATCCTCAGATCCTCGAACTTCTCCGGCTCAAAGAATCCGGAGGTCGAACATGGCCCCAAGGCGGTTGGAGCCAAAAACCTCCAAACCCTCAAAACCTCCAGCAGTGGTTCTTTCTTTGTTCTCGTCCACATCCTTGGCCTGGAAGTGAAAGACTGGGTGAATGGGGACCTGATGAGCTAGAAGTTCCTTCACAGGAAGAGTATGTGCGGCTGAAGTCCAGTTCAACGATTTTGGGCACCACCGAAGTCTTCAGGGAATTCCTCACAATCAAGACCAGCTTAGTACTAGTCACACCAATTTCTTTGAAAGCAGGGGTCAAGGGTTGACAAAAAGGACTCCCAGCCCCCAGCGTCTTTTCTTTCAGCAACAAACACTGCAAAATAGCATCAAATAGCCATGATTCTTTCACCTCAGAGGAGCCTAAGAGGCCTCTCCTTCAAAACTCATCTCCATCGCTTCGCAACTCTCGGGGTCGCGCCGCGCGACTCTCGGGTCCGCCAGCGATCGGAGGATCTTTCGACTTCGGGGCTCGCCGAGCGATGAGAACTGGCCCAATGGACGCACCCTGCGCTATTGGAAAGACAGGCCGGGCCAGAGAGACCGGGGGAGATGAGAGTCGGAGCGAGCGAGGGAGGTTTGGGCGGAGAGGTCCGGGAGAGAGGTCCGGTAGAGAGAGAGAGAGAGAGCGAGAGAGAAGGTCCGGAGAGCGTCTCTTCCTGCTGGGGGGTAGCTTCCGGAGCGGGTTTTTGTTAGGGTTTGGAGGGAGGGTTTGGGAGGATCTTGAGAGGTTTGGGAGATGAGAGGATCTGGGAGGACTGGAATAGAATAGATGAATCGAGTTTCCGGGAGTCCATTTGACTTCCAGTCCCATTCGTCTCTGGGGACATGGTCCTCTGGTGGGGCCACCATGAACTAGCCCTTTAAGGCAAAACAACGTTTGAGACAGCGTTGAACAATACGTAGACTCACAAATGAAGATGAGTGCTCCGTGGAGCTGAGCTCAGTGTTTCGTGGTGTGCATTAGCCCTTTATCCCTAGGGATCCAAGTACCTTCTCAGAAGGTTATTGGAGACACTGTTATGTAGGTTCGGAGGGTCCAAGTACCTTCTGAGAAAGTACTTGGATCCCTAGGGTATGTTACTGCAGTAGACGATGCACTAGCCCTTAATGCAAAACAACGTATGAGACAGTAAGGGGCAACACGTAGAATCACGAATGCTGAAAGTGAACTTGCAGTTGCAGGTACGTCACGGTGATCAGCTGTGATATCCGCATGTACTGTGGCCGCTTCGTTGGACCATCGCTCACAGCACATGGATGGTCCCCCTGCTGTTGAACTGTGCAAACAATGGTTGAGACGAAAAGTGCTGCATAGTGTCCCTGGAGACGGGGGGTGACATACACACAGACACACACCGGGAGCCGCCAAGAAGGTCAGTCACTCTGAATTCGGTCACCTGATTGGCCGCGTCGGTGGAGCGGGCCAGCGGACGTGTTCTCCGACGGTCGGCCGATCCGAAGACCTCCGGATGGTCGAGCAATGATGAGTTGGGGACGCCCCCTTAGAAGCTGAGGGAGTGAAGATCGGTGAAGAAGCGAAGATGAAGAACATGCAGCTGCCCTGTTGGGGTCCCTCGGAGCCCGGACGACCGTGCGACCGGGACACGGCCGGCGGACCGCCCGCGAGGTATCCGAAGTGGGATCCGCCCGAGCAGCTGCAGCCGCTGCTGGGGCGTCGGCCGGAACTGGGTGAGCCCATCCATGGGAATGGCCGCTTGGGAGGAAGATCCTTTAGACGGACCGGGGGATCAGATCGAAGGGCCAGATGGAGACACCGGGGGGGGGAGGTCGGAAGGCCAGAATGGCCAGTTGCACGCGTGCCTTATATTTGTTGTTTGTCTATTTTGATCTATTTGGACCGATAAAAATCAGGTGCCCAGAGATGTTTTTTTTCTTAAAAATCTGATTTCAGGTCATAGCTCGTTTGTCACATTCCTTTTGAAAGGCGATGTCATTCCTTCCTCAGAATCCTGGCCCAAACCAAAGGGGGTCGGTTTGGTTCGGGTCCATTTCCCCCTGCTCTCAGTTCGGCGCGACCCCTGCTATGCCGAGGGCCCGTTCAGTTTCTAACGGGTTGATGTCAAGACGTTCGTCTTCCTCAGACTACACTACACCAAGATTGGGACCAGAACGGGCCTTATAGGTCACCACAGGCATTAACAGCCCCACACTTGGCTGGGCCCAATGCGGGGAAGTTCCATGTGCAAGGTACATTGGAGTCTCCATCATGTACTGTGAACCGACCACTACCAGCACCCAAGACCTACGGCACCACCCGCTTTACTAGAGGAAACCAGACGAGCCCCAAACTCGGTGACCTGTAGAGTCGTCGGGTGCTGGTGCCCTGGCACACTCTCATGGGACTGGCGTATTGACCTACCCTAGGCTCTCCATGGGGGTCGGACCCTCCATAGCAGGGGTCTGGACCCGAACCAAGCCCAGATTCTTAGGGTACATGGAGGGTGGTTGACCTGGGGTCCCATGGCACGGCATATATTCCAGTCCTATGGTGTGTATGGGGTATATGTTGAAGTTGACCAATCACCCCTTTTCCCCACCCCACCCAACACCGACCCGACTGTTTTGCCTTGCTGACCCCAGAATGGGGCGGATGGAGGGCTCTTAGGAATGCTGCCACCTTATGGGTCGAGGGACGAATTCTTGGGAAGCCTTCATCCCTAAGAATCCGGGCCTTAACCAGCACACAGGGTTTGGTTCGAAGGTCCTTGTCCTTTTCCCCCCTGCAGCGGTGTCGGGTCCGATGTTTGCCCATGGAGAGCCCGGATCTCGGATTCTTATAGGGATGAGTAGGACGTCAATTTTCACCCGGGGCATCCAAGCTGGTTCTACCAATTCGTTTGCTCAAAACCGCTCTCTCGCGGTTCCGACGCTCAAACCCTCGACCTTTTCACTGTTTGGGAACCGGGCCCCTTAAGGGTGCCGAAGGGTTCGTGGGCTGCCGACCGGATCGACTGGGTACACCACGAGCTTTGAACATAAGCTCAGCCCTTGGCAGGGGCACTGGCGACGAGAGAAAGGGATCTCCCAGTTCCATGTCGGACTGGGGGGATCCGGTGCTCCCCCAATCTCCTCCATGTCTTCGCGCCTCGTCTCCCTGTCTGGGTCTTCGCACTCGGAAGACGTCAGACGGATCAGACGACGCAGGGATCCAAAAAGAGACGGGGGCTGAAGCTGCTTCTCCAAGGACCTGAGCAGTTTTTCGGACCTCAGACGTCGAGGATTTGGCTTCTTAAGATCATTCTTTCTAGAGGATGGCTGACATGGATGGATCATGTTCCCTGCACGTCCTGTCCTGACCTAGTAAAATCTGGCCCTAGAAATCCAGTTGTACCGAACCTCAGGTTATTGGAGACACTGTTATGTAAGTTCGGAGGGTCCAGTCGTACCGAACCTGAGGTTCGGTACGTTTTGTGGATCCGAAAACGGCCCGGTCCGACCGCGGGGGCGGCCCCATCGACCTGTCCAGCAGCGGGGTGCAAATCCAGTGTGGACAGCCTTGTCTGGAGAGTCAGGAACCCAGACCATCGGACTGGAAGACCTGGATCTTCCCATTTTCATCCATCGGAAATAGCAAAAAAAAAAGCAGAACTTGGGCATAGTTGGAAGATCCAGGTATATGCCTACATTGAACCCCCCCGCCCAAACCACCCCAATCTACGTAAATAGCTCAGTCCCATGGATGGTCTGGGTCATGGAGTCTCTCAGGGCACCCGTTCGGCACACGACCCGTAGAGACCGGGGGTGGTTCCTCTGAGCGTTGCTCGAGGTGGTGATCTCCTGGGCGCCTGGGCACCAGATTAGACCCGCGACAGACGAGCAGAAGTTGAGGGAAAGCAAGACGAAACTCAGTGGTGAACCCCTTGGCAAAAGGATCTAGGGGCGCCCCAGTTCGGGGTGGTGTCACCTCTTTACGCAATTAGACACCCCGCCAGCGCCAGCGCCGGCCCTGATCAAAAAGCCAAGTGACATGTGATCTGTGAAATCAGGGTCTGCGACTTCTCGCACCTCTGAAAGGTGAGGTTCCGCCGTCCTCTCGACCAGTCGACCCTCGCGGCGGATGGGGTGCCGTCCTGCGGCATGTGGGACTGGAGGTGTGGGTTCCGAATCTGGCGGCCAGGATCCCAAGCACCATTAGTTGAATAGGCTGTTTTTTACTTAAGGATGTTCCACTGCATAAGACGAGGTCAAGCATTTCTTACATGGTCTTGTAGTCTTGCAGGGCGACTGGTGTTCAGAAGAACACCATGAGATACCATGAGCCTATATATACGCTGTGGAGTGACAGCCTTTGTTTTCGGAGGGATCTCCAGAATGTTCAACGAGCTTCTTGGGACAGCACAGAGTTCCCAGGGTCTTCCGTTTCCCATGGGATTTCTCAAAGCGTGAACTGGTTGGTTTGGATGTACCTGATGGTCTTGAGCGAGTCAAAGTCCAAAGCCCATCTCAGCTACTTTAACCCAGAAGTCCAGTTGGACTATATTTGGCACCACCGAAATAGAGGACAAGCCTAAGGACATTCTAGATGGCAAACATGTGTTCACGACCTGGTAGTCAGACCATTTTTGAAAGGCAATTGGACTCCGGATCGAGTGCTAGGGCCATTTTTTAAACGGGTTTCCAAGGATGTCTTCGGATTCCTTGCGAAAGACCCGGGTGACGGTTGTTTGAGACTGGTCGAGCACTTTTCGATGGAAGCCGTTAAAGCTGCGGGGTCAACCGGCTTCCCTACGGTGGCACAGTCCCAAGATGAGCCCGATTTTGCGGATCAGGCTATTGTCTATTTTCCCGAACTGGTTAACTCCCCTACTTCTGAGAATATGTCTTTGCTTTTCGAGGTTCCTTAAGCAAATCCAAGAAGATGAAGGCCTTTTTCACCCTAAGCTCTCCATGGCAGGGGTTGGACCTTCTTCACTGAACGCAGGGGGAAAAGGATGTGTTAAAACCGGGCTCAGACTCTTAGGGCAGGGTAAAATGGCCAGCAGACAATTCATGGGACTGGAAAATGAGGTTTACTTACTTTCGTTCCCATAACCCTGATGTAGGTCACCATTCCTTACATGGAGTGTCCTGGAACAATCTGTAACATAGCTTCATCTGGGGCCCACCGTCTTCACCACCTGAACGCTGCCTCCGTGCGTGGATTTTTGTCCTTTGTCGAGCTCCTTCACTTCACCAACTCCTCAAGTCCATAGCCAAGCTCTCCCCATCCCGGTGGCCGCGTCAAACGCACCGACCCAAGCGATTCGCAGCGATTCGCTCCGATTCGCCGCGAAGCGCCGCGAACGGCGCTGAGGCAAGCTTCTGTGCCTTGATCCCGAGCAACGCCCCAACGCGCGCCGCGCCAAGATGCATCCCTTCTTGGCCGAGCGGCACGTGTTGCCCCACGAGCCGAATCCGGCGTTGGAATGAGAGGAGCGGGAGCGGAAGCAGAGCCCATGACATGACGATTCCGTTCTTGTCCACCACATACCTGGACCCTCCTGTCGAGGTACTCTGTCTGGAAGGCTATACTAGGACCCACGGGAGTTGGGTGGTTAATCAACACCCCGAATCACCTCTAAGGCTCTAAGGGGCTATCAAGTTCGACACTCCGCCAGCCCGGGTGTCCAAAGTGTCCGGTCGTGTGGGGTCGTCGGTGATCCGTTGGACGGTCCTGGTAGCGAAGTTGCGAGGGGTTCATACTCCTTTAGGAGCGGGGAGGAGCAGCGTGTTTTCAGCTCTAGGTAGTGTGGGTTGGTTGCGTTTCACGTCGCCTCTGTGGATGTCTCTGGCTGTCTCCGGTGTCTTTTTGCTGTTCGGGTCTACGCTGGAATATATCATTGGGAAAACAGCGGCTTGGTTGGAGATCCATGGGTGAAAGAGAAGGAACAGGTACCAGGTGTCATCAAACTGCCGGACCAGACCCTGAAAAGAGGTTCTAAGCGAAAAAAAGAAGGATTGGTGCCCGAAAAAGACAGGTCCATAGGTAGACAACAAGGTGACCTTTTAATGTGACAAACAATACTAACAGTGTCACCGCAGGGTCAGCCCTGGAACATGCGTGATGGTTCAGGGCTGACCGGCCTGTCTTCCCGTGTCTTCCCCACGGACGATGACCGCCATGAGCGAAGTCCTGTCTTCCCGCCATGCGCAGCGGAACCGCTTCGACTTCAAAGCGTTTTCATTGGACGTTTGGGGTGAAGAATGGATGGAAGAGGGAAGCTCTGAGGAGGAAAGCAAGCAAATGAGGAGAGGAGGTTTCAGCAATCTTGATATACCGTGATCATCCATGTAAAGCTTCCCCTAGCATTCCATTCACCATCGTTGTTTTGTGTAATTCCCGCACAACAAGTGTTTTGCTAAGAATCCAGACTACACAACCATGTCAGCCATCTTCCATGGTCTTGGGAGACTAGGGCAACCAGAGATCTTTTCTTTATTGGGGAAATACCGGGATAACATACGGACTAGGCTATCCCGGCTATCCCCTCACTCAGCTCTGACAGGTCAGATAACATGTTTCTGGATTTGACCCATCCATTTGGGATCTCACACCCATCTCCATGGCAGCACCCATCTGAGAGTTCCACTCTCAGTCCGGGCCAATGGGAGTGTATAGGGTTCATCAACCTCTACCTGGTTTTGCTTAAGTTTTTTATTCTCCCGAACTGGTTGCCGTCGCCCGAGAATATGTTGTTGTCCAGGTTCCTTAAGCACATCCAAGTCGACTAGAAGAAGGCAGCTATCGATCAAAACCCGGTGTCGTAGCTTTTTTCGTCACTATCCGTCGGAATGTTCTTTCCAACAAAAAGAACTATTTTAGGCATATATACCGGTAGGGCTGGCTTCAGAAGCCAATGTATAGGTATATTTTTACCTAACGAGTCACTGCCAGTGACTTGTTGAAGACCCACCTGCAAGTCATTTTGTTCCACCACTGGCCTGGGGAAAACAAGCCAGTTCCATGGAGCGTCTGGCTTCATATATACCAGGCCCTTCCAAGTCCGGTGGTCCCCTGAGAAGGATTTGCTTTGTTCCACCCGCATTCGATTCGCAGTTTGATTGACCAGTTAAAGTCGCATAACTATGAACATGCCACATCTACAAGCATGTTGCTAGCTTGTTGCGTTCTTTTCCTTGAAGTGGCGATTGTGAAGGTGAAGGACGGTGTCTTTTGAGGGACATTCAGAAGCAGATGCACATTCAAAGAGCAATTTGATGGCTAGTACTCCAAGGTAAATTTTGGGAGGCCCATATAGACCACCCAGCAAAACCAGTGAATCAGAACCAGATGAGAGCTTTCTTTTTGTTTCCCTGCAGGGCAAGGGGCGAGGTCTTTCTTTTTTCTTCTGACCGGATGGGGTGTATGATGAAAGCTAGATTCCCAGACCATCCATGGGACTGGAATAGTTACATACATTGACACCTGACCCAGGTAACTCTTCTGTCGTCGTCTGTTTCGGGACCCCAACCCACAGGTGGTGAACCTGGGCAAGAAGACCAGGGTTCACACCCCAGACGGTCTTCTAAAAAAGGCATCAACCAAGACGCTCCAAAAACGGCTTTTGCTTCCGCCCGAGACTCGAAGCTTAGACTCGAGTCGCTTTCAGGGACCAAGAATCGGTTCCTCCCGCCCAAGAATCGTGGTTTCAGTGGTTTCTGAAGCGCCCAAATGTTTCCACACGGCGCAGCTTCAGAGAAGGGTCTTGAATTCGTCTTCTTAGAATTCTGTAGGCTTGAAGCTGCGAACCAACGCGAGAGGAAGCTCCGAAGGGTGAAGGGTCAAGGGGTGGCGTGAGGAAGCTCCGTGTTGGCGAACAAGAACACGTGGAAGCCAACCCACATGGTGGAAAAGCTTGGAGGGTGACCCCCAAACTGTGGCGAGCTTCGTTCTCTGATATGATGAGGATGATGGTGATGATGATGATGATGACGATTGTCTTTTGACCTGGACCGTTCCAAAAAGCCGTAAATGTCTGCCAACCTTGGCTGATTTTTATGGATGAAGAGGCAGACATGACTTGCACACAAAACTGGAAGATCTAGCTTGGTGAACAGATGGAAAGTTCGCTGAACCTTTATTTTCCAGGCAAATGGCTCGGGGGTCAGGACTATAGTCATGTCTCCCAGGGGCTGGTTAGGGGTTGTGGGGAAGCATCGCATCTCACTAGCCATAGCCATGACCATTCACCCGGAAATGCACGGCAAGGCTTTGAAAGGCCGCTCGTTGGTTTTTTGATTGCATGACTTCCAGGGCTGTCTGTTCGAGTGCGGGCATCCTGGAGCCAAAAAAACTGGGTTTGCTTGATGATTTTGTATTTGCCCTATATAATATGGTTGATTCTTTTTAAATGGATTATATTATTGACTTTTTTCACAGGTTCTTAAAGCAATTCCAAGCAACAAGGGCTGCCTTCCATTTTTTTTCGGCAGGGCCGCCCTGGCCAAATCGGAGCTTGTACACCCATGTTGATGTCTGACCACAAGGCCTGAACCCAATTTGCTTGAACATTGCTCGGCTCCTGCTCGGTGACTTCTGCAGGGCACAAGTGTTCGACTATTTCATCAACACATCCGAAAAAAGAGTGCCCCGGCGACCCCGGCTTTGGAACATCTGTTTGGTTTACCCGAGCCACCTGGTCAGCAGACCACCAAACGCGCTGTTGGTCCTTTCATCGGAGCTCGCTCAGAGTCGTCAGAGTCGAGCCCTGGAGCATGCGTATATAGACATGCACACATGACACACAATCGGCCGTTGGCTCTTGGCGCCATTGGATCTTAGTCGCTCATCAGATCATCAGTGTGGACCCCTGGCCCATCCGACAGGCTGTTTGGTCTGATGTACATGGTTTGACCATCACATCCAGACACTCCAATGTATGGATTATAGGATCTTCCAAGCTCGGCTGGTTTGGGACCTGATGCACCGGTAGTGAACGTGGGGCACCAACCACTCCAATGTCCTTTAATCCAGCCGTCCGGAGTGTTGGGGTGTAGAAGGGATGAGTGTCACTTCGAACAGTCCCGCGGCGGGTGAGTTCGAAGGTTGCAGAAGAGCCTGAACGAAGCACACAGAAGTCCCATGATAGGGCTTCCCTTCACCTAGCCTACCCCCCTAGGCAGGGAAGCAAGGGGGCTAGGCTAGGGTACCCTAGGCCCTAGGATAGGGGGGGTCCTGAACCCTAGGCCTCCAGTCGTACCTTCGTTTCGTTTCGGTGGGACGGGTCTAGAGGGTCCACATAACCGAGGAGGTACGACTGGAGGTGTAGAGGAATGACCCAGAATGGAGCCAGTACCATCCTCCAGTTCATGGAGATAGTACCATCCAGGATAGTACCCGTAGAATGATATATAGAACACAAAACACTCCGCCCATTGAATCATTCCGTGCCAGGATTCATCCCTTTCAAGCTGCCACACGTTCTCGTCGTCCTGCTCACCGCCGCACGCGTCGGAGCGCATGAGTGTGGGACGCGTGGCGTCCGGGTGGTGGGACTCCGCTCGGACCACCACTTCCTCACGTGGTTCCGCGTGGCGGCCAAGCTTCCCCCCCCAACCGACCCTGCACCGATCTGATCCTCGCGGGGCTTCGTGGCGGAAAGCGTTCCCCGAACCCCCCCAGGTTCCGCGCAGCTCGGGCGACCGCGGTGGTGGGTTTTTGGGAATCCATCGAAGCTCAAACACCACGTGTCGAGGAACACACCGACCCGACGACGACGAGTCCGTCTTCCAGCCGATCTGCCGAGCGTGACGGAATCGCCGAGAGCCACTGGGCGATAGGATAGATTAGATCGCCGCAGTCCTCAGCGCAGCTGGCTGCTGCCGCGCAGATTTTGCAGCGCAGCATCACGGTTTCTGGTGAAAACAGACCATCTCAATGCGGCGGCCAAGGGGGTTGGGACACGAACGAAAGAAGAGCCGCCTGAAAAAGGGCGGCTTTTCGGCGTGAGGGCGTGAAACACGGCCGTGTCCTTTTGTCTTTCCTGGAACCCCAAACAACCAGAAAGAAACGGATGTTTCCCCAAACAACCATTTCCTATGTAAAGGATTTCAATTGCCATATTGGAACAACCATTTGTTTCTAGTTGTTTGGGGTTCCAGGTTGGGTTTTGTTTGGAAGACGCAGTTCCGCGTGTGGCCACAGCGGTGCTGGTTCTTTTGCCTCTATTATACTAAGCTACGCTACGCCGCACTTCCTGTTAGAGATGTCCAAGCGAGACGCAATGAAACGGTGTAGGGTTGTCCAGCCACACTCCAGCCACGGATGCTTCTGGTACAGTCTTTCTCCACAAAATTGGGAGATCCCCCAACTTCAGGAGGAACATGAGGTCAGCGCGCCTCCAACCACGGTCCACAAAACAGTGTCCGGCTTTCAGGTCAATTCGTGGCGGTGTGTCGCATCACCCGGCACCTGGGCGGCCGAGGCGGCC